TTATTCCAAGGCCAGGGCTCCTCCATTCCACACGCAGACAGTAGCCTTGAAGGGTCAAGAGCCACATGTTTCCAGAACCAGTATTAGACTAAGACTTGTCCCCAGAAGATGAATGTTTAATTTTAAATAAATATGCTCTGACTGCTCATTTATGAAAAATGTTGAACTTCCTGCAAAACTAAAATGCAAATTGTGTGCAAAACCATTTTGCCAACCCAGTGGAAAAATGATATAAAGCCTAATGGTATCCTTACAGCACCGGGGTTCGTATGTGTGGTGAAGCAGGCTCTCAAATTGGTCCTAAAGTAGTGCCTCAGACAGGTAAATAAACCGGAAAGATATACTGTAAAATGTTTGTTTATTTTTAAAAATATTTTTAGAGATTTATTTATTTATTTGCGAGAGAGGGAGATGGAGGGAGGGTCTCAAGCAGACTCTGCACTGAACGTGGAGCCCCATTTGGGGCTCGATCTCATGACCCTGAGGTCACCACCAGAGCCAAAAGCAAAATTCAGGTGCTTAACTGACTGAGCCACCCAGGCTCCCCCAAAATGTTTATTTAAAAAAAAAGGAAACAAAGGAGATAAAGGTGGAAATTAGATTGACTACATGTCCATCCATCCCTTCAATGGGTCTGCCCAGATAAGCCCCTCCCACACACCAGGCACTGTTGTGGGAGGATTCAGTACTGTGCATGGCAGACAAAAAATTCCAGGTCCATGAAGTTGGCATGCTCATGGAAAGGTATTATCCACTGAATCAGTTACGAATGCACTGGGCTGCATTTCACAAAAATCCATATATAGTCGGTTAGCTAGAAAGAGATTTGTTTTTCCTCATTAGCAGGAGAGCTCGGCTGCTTTGTCAGGGGCCATGGGGAGCTGCCAGTGGTGCCTAAGTATACAGGTTCCTTCTAGCATCCTGTGCTCTCAATCAAGACGTTTTCATCCTCCGTGTAGTTTTCAACCTCATGGCCCTCTTTAGCTCCTCTGGAAGGCTAATCTATGCTCCACACTGGAACAAGGGGTAAGATCAAGGGTAAATAGGCATGTGGCATCTGAGTCAACCGGATTATTATTGGGAAGTTAAAAAAAAAGACGTCCTGCTTTTCTTCTGATGATTCCATATTCTGCATTAAAGTGCAACAGAAAATTCCCCCCAAGTTCTAATTCTTGTGTCTCCTTATTTTCAGAGACTGGCTCATTAGCATCCATGGAGCTTGAGAAAATCATTTCAGTCATCTAGCAATGAGCCGTTCATGGAAAGGTTTTGGATAGTCTACGTTGTTAGCGTTATACGTGTGAGTCACAAATTAAGAAATGGCATGATATGAGTAGTGTCTTTGTTTACATACAAATAGCTAATAAGAGAGGTCAGAATGTCAGGAAGAACAGAAATAAGATTACCTGAACGGCTCCTCCAGCGGGTTTCCAGTTATGCAAATAGCTTTTCTTCTAAGCAGGCACTTCAGTGCTTTCTAATTAGACGGTGGTGGGTTTCTTTCCTCTGTCCTCTGGGAAGTTTCTAGAACTCCTTCAGAAGGCATGCTGTTTCATAAGAAGGAGCAGAAACAGGCTGAACAAGTCATTCAGGTCCATCTGACTCAATTGAGGACATCTTCCCCGCTAACCTCTTTAAACAGAGGTTTCTCCATTTTGAAACCCTGAGCAGATTATTGTTTTGGGCATTGATTTTGGCACCAAATAATTGTTGTCGTTGCATATATTTAAATCTTATCTCCCAAATACAGAAAACAGTCATTTCTTTAGTTTGGAGACCAAGTGATACTTATTTCTTAATTTAAAAACTGTTGTTTTTATGTCCCTCAGCCCTAGAACAGCATCATACCTGCTCTTGATATTTAATACTTGATGATTTTAGAGACAACTTTTACAAACCATGGAATTGTACACATGCCCTTTCTACAAAGCAAACAAAATAATTACTCAATACCTGAACAAGCAATCAATCAAAATAGAGTGATTCAAAAATGATGAGATCAGTTGAAAAAGAGGTAAAGTTAAATGTGAAATAATGTTTGTTAAAGATAGATGAAACTATCTTTGAAACGAAGTTCAAAAATAGTTATTGAAAAAAGAAGAAACACATGAAAAAGGTTAACAGTTTTAAAAGGTAGGTCTAAATCTTAGATACTAGGAAAATCTAAGAAGCATGTAGGGTAGACATTCTGCTAAGTGAAAGTCTGCTAATCTCACTGAACAGAGTGAAAATCTGTAGATGCCTTTATTTTACTCACACACACACATACATGGAGAAATATAGAATAAACATTTTTTTTTTTAAAACAACAGACCGGAGGGCACCCCCTTCGGGTCCCCTCAGTCCTCGGGAGCTTTGTACTATCACTTTGCTATCACTCAATAAACCTTGCTTTGCTGCCCATCACTCTGTCTGGTCCACCTCTTCATTTTTCGAAGTGGTGTGACCCTGAACTGTGGGCACCGATGGGGAAAAATCCTGCAACACCTTGACCAAAGAGATTACAGATGTCCAGAAAAATAAGGTGTCCTGAGGTCACATAGCCACACTAAGTACCTCCAATGTTTGCTCAGAGGAAAACAAGGAAGATGAATAGAGGTTCTGGAGGCCAACGTAACACCCACTTCAAATCTCAGCTCTGAGCATGAGACTCTTGATCTCAGGGTCATGAGTTTGAGCCCCATGTTGGGTGTAAAGATCACTAAAAAAGTAAATGAATAAATAAAGTTAAAAAATAAAAAAACAACAGACTAGAATGTTAAATTAACATTAAAAATGGGCTGTACGGTTTCCATATCATGAGAGGCAACTGCTTCCCTTGCTTTACTATTCAGAAGTAGGAGAGGGCAACAAAAGTTGACCTTAAGGAAATGTTTATGGCAGTATTATTTCAAAAATGAAAGTTCAGAAGGTTGACTTTCCCACAATAGAAAATTTGCCAAAATAAAATTACAGTATTGCTTCACACACACACAAAGCTATAAAAATGTAATTACATGAACATCAGGTCTAACATATTAAGAGGAAGAAAAAAAATGACCTGCACAGGTGATGTCCATAACTAGCTAGAGCCTTTTGAAGCCAACCTCCTGCTTCCCAGCTCCAAGACCTTGGGTGAGTTTTATGACTTTTCTGTGATTCAGTTTCTTAACGACAAAATTAGTTTCTATACTTTTTCATTTTTTGAAGGGGGAAAACTTGGGATGATGATTGACACAGAGTAATAAGCACTCTGTGTGTGTGTGTGTGTGTGTGTGTGTGTGGTAGCTTTTAGATTTCCCATGCAAAGTATGAATCATGGTTCTTTGTCTGGATCTTAAATTATGGAATGTAAGAATTTTTTAAATTCTCCAATTCTTTGTTACTTTTAAAGCAATAGAATGATACGTTCTGTCAACCTATAGTTATAAGGATCGATCCACTTCACAACCTGACCTGTAAGCACAAGTACTCAGGGGTCACAGAGGGTCAGAAAAACCAAACACATGTTAAAACATAGGGTCCTTGGTAAGATGCACCTGTAATCTCCCTTAGAAAGATTTTTCAAACTGAGGGTCACATTAGTGCATTAGTGCGTTGTGAAATCAATCCCATAGTTTGTAACCAGCATTAAAAAAATGAAATAGACTAGAATGTATCGGAAGGCAAGCACTTAAGTTGGTATTGTTTTCTGAATTTGTGTTTCAGGTGTGTTTGTAAGCATGAGCCCATGAGACAGAGAGGCAGAGAATTTGCTACCTCACTTTGCAACCAGAAATTGGAAAGTCTCATCATTTGATTTCCGCTTCAGAAATATTTCAGATGTAGACTCTCTCCTTTCCCACACTACCTCCTTAGCTGAAGCCCTTGCCTTTCTTCTGAGACTATTGCAACAGACTACCAACTTCTGACATTGGGCCCTTTCCAATAATTATTTTTTATGTGAAAAATCTAAAACCAAGACAGCTACAAGAACAATACACAAATCCTCTCCTTAAAAACTTCAGGTCCTTCCCCAGCCTGCAAAGTAACAAGCTTCTCATGCAGGCATTGGCGGGTGGGGGGGGCGGTGATCTCCACATGATGGTCGTTTTGGCGTTTTCCTCAGCTGAAGCCTGGGCTTTGGCCGTACCGCGCTGCTCTCTCAACTTCGTTCTGGAAGGTCTGGCCTGGATGAACAAATTCCTTTCTGGGCCTCTTACGAAGGCAAGTCTGAGGACAAGCCCCCAAAAGGATCCATCCCAGACCTTGTTCCAATAACTCCTTCCCCGCAGCTTTGCAGGCACAGGGGCCAGCCCAGTCCTGCTGGAGATCTGGGGCTCTGGTTCCCACGGTCTCTTCCTGCCTCCCGTTTTCGAGTTAATTCAAGCCACAGGGACTGACGACTGGTTTAAGTCCCAAACAACCCACATGCCTTGGAGATTACGGTTCATTAGATTGTTTGCCCAAATAAAGTCGTACTCTGCAGTTTTTAGACAATCCTATAAGCATCTCCTAAGCACGCAGTGAGACATTTAAGAGATGTGTTACTTCCTTCACATACATAAATAATTTTCAATAAAAGTCAATGTGTGAATAATTTATTTTCTCCACCGATTGGAAGCCAACCGTTTGGAAAACCACTCAGAAGAGCTGAGGTAAGCCTCTCGCTCAAAATTACTTTTAAATATAAGAGGAAAAGAGGAAGTTTTCTTCTTCTCCTTGAGTTTTGCTGAAAATCGAGAGCTTTATCTAATAGTTTTGGCATTCGGGGTCATTTTTCATGAAAAGGTTAAAAGGCACGTGAAATCCGAGTCTCCACGGATTACCCAGCAGTGAAGCGTGGGCGATTCTGCTCGGAGGATTTGTGTGGGATCCAACTTTTGGGGGTAAAACAAACACAAATATTCCTCCCCCGGGGGGCGGGGCGGCGCCCGGGGGATGCACCAATCACAGAGCGCCCTGCCCTATATAAGGCCTTGAGGCCCTCTCCGCGGCGTTTGACGCTTCTCGGTGGTCACCCCTCAGCTTGTCTTCGTGAGATGTCTGAGACCGCTCCGGCGGCCGCTGCTGACACTGCTCTGGTTTCTATGGAGAATCCTCCAGCTAAGAAGAGAGGGAGGAAGCCGGTGGGCCTGTCAGGCGCTAGTCGCAAGGCCCCGAGCCTGTCCGTGTCCAAGCTGATCACGGAGGCTCTCTCCGTGTCCCAGGAGCGCAGCGGCGTGTCCCTGGCCGCGCTCAAGAAGGCGCTCGCGGCCGCCGGCTACGACGTGGAGAAGAACAACAGCCGCATCAAGCTGGGCCTCAAGAGCCTGGTGAGCAAAGGCACCCTGGTGCAGACCAAGGGCACCGGCGCCTCGGGCTCCTTCAAGCTCAACAAGAAGGCTCTTCCTGAGACCACCAAGAGCAAGGTCAAAAGACCTTCTTCTGCAAAGGCGAAGAAGCTGGTCTTATCCAGGGATTCGAAGTCCCCGAAAGGTGCCAAGACCAACAAAGCCAAGAAGCCCAGAGCGACGGCAGCGCAGAAAGCGGCCAGGAGCGGCGGGAAGGCGAAGGGAGCCAAAAGCACGGAAGCACGGAAGAGTCCCGGGAAAGCCAGAGGAGGGAAGCCGCAGGCCGGGAAGTCCAAGCTGAGCCAGCAGAAAACGAACCCGAGGAAAGTGGCGTCCAAGAAGTAAGCTGAAAGAAGCTCTATTGTCAACCCAAAGGCTCTTTTAAGAGCCACCCCAAGTACTTTAAAAAGGGCTTGACACTGAACTTTTAGAAGCTTGTAAATGGGTAAACAGTAGTGGTCTATTAAGTAAATTTTATTGCTGGAAATACTAAGGGTCTCATCAGATAAGGTGCCGATCTACAGCACCTTAAGGTTTCAATATTGGAAAATCCTCGTGCCTCATCTAAAAGCAGGTTGCGCACTGGAGTACCAGTACGGCACACGGCCTTGTGTACCCGCCATACTTCTCTGGAAAGACTAACGTGTTTTGGTCGAGGGAGGAGTTGCAGGATCAGCTCTGCACAAACCTAGCTGACTTTCCAAGTGCTTACATTCCAGTTGACCCTGTTCCATGGTGCCACTGTAACTAGGGTTGCAGAACTCCCTGCACAGCTTTGTGGGTCAATAATATATAGGAATTGTAACAAAATTTGGACTGGGGCAATTTTAAATCTTTGGAGTTTTCCATTTATTTTTTAAACATTTATTTGAGAGACCAAGCACCAGCATGGGGAGGGGCAGAGGGGGAATCAGGCTCCCTGCTGAGCGGGGAGCTGAGCTGGGGACTCCATCCCAAGACCCTCAGGTCATGACCTGCGCCAAAGTCAAGAGTCAGATACTTAACCAACTGAGCCACCCAGGCGCTCTGAGTTTAACATTTAATAAACAGAAAAATCAAGTATCTTCAGTTTACAGTTGAAAGAATGAAATACCGTTTATCTTCATTTCCAAAGTACTGTATTGTCACATTAAAAAAATTGGTTTGAAAATACAAGTAGTCTAATATAATTGTAATTCTATGTATTTTATGAAGAGAGTGGATAGGCTTGTCCAGATTGTGTTGCACAGGCTGAAAAATACTAAACCTTCATGGAGATATTGGGGCTACAAAGTTTTTAGGGTCCAAACTGAACATCACAAAAACGACTTAGGAAATTCTCAGGATCTGAGTAAAGGCATCTTTCTCATTTTAAGCAAAATTAGTTTTAAAGCTTTCACTTAATTTGGGATTTAGCATTCTTAAAGATTATTATAAATATTAAATTCATACTGTTAATCTTATTTTGGGCCTTGGTATTTGGAGCAACCTTGAATAAAGCCCAATGCACAACTATGTAACACATTCTTTCATGTACAAGCTTGTATTAGATAACTCACTGGGGCCTAGCCTTTCTAAACTCATTTATGTAACTGGGCCTCTTGACAATTTTTTTATATAATGGAAAACGAATAAACATAATGGTTTAAAGTTGTATAGTCCGCCACAGCCCGTGTCTTGCTTGGACATGGCGGCCAGTTTCCCTTTCAGGTTGGAACGGTAACGCAGGAATACGGTTCACTTGCGGGGAAGGGCGTGAGTCCCTCGTCCGACTGCCGCGCCCAGCAGTGGCCCGACCCCAGACCCCCGCCTGGCAGCAGGCAGGTCCCCGGCCCTGCTCGAATCCGTCTAGAACTGGCCCCGCGATCCAGTGCGCCTTTGTTCCTCGCGCCTCTTTAGGGCCTGGCAGATATCGGGTTAACCAACCAAGGTTCTTCCGCCAGTTCCGGGGACAGCTATTAAACCCTTTTTAGCTAACAGGAAAAATGGTGCTGAAATCCCGCCCTCCGCAATTTTTTCCTGCACCACACCAACATCCAATCAGCTCGTCCCCGAAGGACCTTCATCTGCATAGCCGCGGCTGGTGGGACCGAGAGCCAACGTTGTATCGTGGGTGCTGCCGGCGCCGCGTTTATCTGAAGAACCTTCATCGGGATGCTCTCGGTTGCATACCGAATACGCAGTTGTCGTTTAGTGATTTCATTGCCACCACTCTGCCGTTTAAAAAAATAGAGAAAAATTTCATACGTTCATTAGGTAGTACAGGGTCCCCTGAACTGGACTACATCACGGCACGAATTTCTGAACCTACTCTTCCGTAGTTTATACACTTAACTACCACCGGCATTTTACACTATCCCAACTTCCTTTCTACCAAGCACAACAGCCCTTTAAATGATTCTGTGGGCGGCCCTGAAAAGGGCCTTTGTGTTTGAAAATACGGGGCGGTCCGGTGCGCTCAGCCCCCGAAGCCGTAGAGGGTGCGGCCCTGGCGCTTGAGCGCGTAGACCACGTCCATGGCCGTGACCGTCTTGCGCTTGGCGTGCTCCGTGTAGGTGACGGCGTCCCGGATCACGTTCTCCAGGAACACCTTGAGCACCCCGCGGGTCTCCTCGTAGATGAGGCCGGAGATGCGCTTGACGCCGCCGCGCCGGGCCAGCCGCCGGATGGCGGGCTTGGTGATGCCCTGGATGTTGTCGCGCAGCACCTTGCGGTGGCGCTTGGCGCCGCCCTTGCCCAGGCCCTTCCCGCCTTTGCCGCGACCAGACATGGTAGTGGTGCTGGTTGAAGTGACTACCTCGTCTTCACGCAGCCTTTTAAATAGCATTTGTGCGGACCTGATTGAGAACACCGTGCCCTGGCGTTCTTTCGAATTAGGTCAGTAAGGGGGTGGGGCAAGGAGGCCTCATTAACATTTGGATGTTTTGATTGGCCAGTGAAACCTCGCTCTTCATCGGGCGGCCTGGAGGGGGAGGTACAGCTCTCACTGGATGAAAAGCTTGTGTCTCTTTTGTCCTGAGTTGTTTTTCAGGGCGCGTTTGCAAATGGAATGTGTTTTTTTTTTTTAACCAGGTAAAGCCGCTGAGCAAGGAGAACCACTCAACGTTTCTTTTTATTTCCACTAAATAACTAATAAATTATGTAATGATTCCTTGGGGGGAATGTAGAGGAAATAATGTGAAGGACGGTGGATTTATAGGTCAAGGGACTTCCCCTCCGGCTTCTTTAGTATTCCTATTAAACTGACGCACTTAAAAGGCCTTCTTTATGCTGGACAAAGTGTAAGCCTGGCCACCTAAAAGCTCTGGCCCTATGTTTGGAAACAGAAAAAAACCGAACAATTGCAAATTAAAACTTCTTGTTCCCTTTCAAACATTTATTGAGTGATTCCTGTTTCTACAAAAGTCTGTGCGAGAGTTAGGGAACCTAAAGCTAAGCTTGGACAATCAGTTGCCTCTGGACACTCTTCCTGGCCTGCTGGGCCTCTCTGATCTGCCTGCAGTTCCTAATAAACTCCTCTTTCCTCCTTAACTGATGCCTTTTAAACCTTCTCCAGGTTTAGAGACAAGAACAAACGTTTTGTTGAGTGGGGGATTAATTGTAGGGCAGGGCTAATACTTGATTAAGGTCATAACAAAGCCTACAGGGCCCTTCCCTGGAGGGCTTTTGATGAGATTATTGGTGTTTTAAACAAGGCTAATCCCATTAAGGGGGAAAAAAAAAAGCAGAATAGAGCAGAATTGGATCTGAATGTGGTTGGGAGAGGGCCTTCTCAAATAAAAAATTTCTCCTTAGCCTCCTGCGGCAGGTTTTGAAAATTTCCGTGATCAGACTTACTGGCACCCCCTCTCTCCAAAAAGTTCTTTGGACAGAGAATTTCTAACAATATCCTCCGTATTTATTTATTTAATAAATAAATGCCTGTTGTGGATACTTAAGACTATGGCCCGAGAGTGATCACACATATATATATAAAACCTCATACTTTCTCAGGTGAAAAAAGAAGAGTTCCAGGAGACGGTAGAAAAGCTCTGAATGGCGTATTATCTCTAACACTTCCGGAATTATTAAGTAGTTACATTCTTCTGCCCCAAATTGAGGGTTTTTAGGTTCCTGACTTTTACTTCCCTTTCCCCCACCACAAACACATACTTTATAAGGGGGACTTAGCTAGGAAGAAATGTCAAACACTACAGAGAAAAAGTGTAGGGTCTGAGATTATAAGTAAAACTGAAATCTCAATGTGCTTTTTATTTCATGGCAATAAATAAAAATAGCGTGTATATAATATGGTAATTTCATGCAAAAATCCATGGTGTGAGCCATCCTTTATGCACATCCCAGCAGGTGCCCTCTGCATTTCAAGAAGAGATCTAGGCCAGCTTCCCCCCATTTTATTTTGCCCATTCGATCGTTAATAAAACTTCACTTTTATTTTGACCTCTTAAGTCTTTTTTTCTATTCCCTTCTCCTAATGTCCTCTTTTATCAATTTTTCTCAATGACGTTGACTCAAAAATCATGAATGTCAGAACAGAAATATTTAAAACGTATAGACATATTGGGTGCCTGGGTGGCTCAGTTGGTTGGGCGACTGCCTTTCGGCTCAGGTCATGATCCTGGAGTCCCGGGATCGAGTCCCGCTTCGGGCTCCCCGCTCAGCGGGGAGTCTGCTTCTCCCTCTGACCCTCCGCCCTCTTGTGCTCTCTCTCTCTCATTCTCTCTCTCAAATAAATAAATAAAATCTAAAAAAAAATAAAGTATATTTTTAAAAAAAGCCGTATACACATATAGATGTATATTAAAAATGGATCCTTCCACTCGGGGAAGAGTGCAGGTCCTACTTGGCCATAAGGCTCGGGAGAGGGGGTGGCTTACTCTGGAACCTGTATTGCTGGCTTTCTTTTCACCGCGCCCCCCCCCCCATCCTCAGAGAGAACCTGGCTTCAGAGAACCCCGTTCATTCAACATGTGAGGAAAGCCCTTCACCTAAAAACCCTACAAACAAGTTGTGGCTAATAGGTCACATCACACATTTGAACAAATAACACCATGAAGTTAATCAAAGGTTTTATAAAAACATGAGATGCCTACAATCACCTTCTGCAGCAGATTAACTCAGTCAGAGTATCAGAGCTGAGGAATGGTGTGTATACTATATATATAAATACAAATATATATAGTCAACTGTGTATATATAGTCAACAAACAATTCTGATACTTGTCCAGGGTTGAGAACTACCACTATATCACTATCACTTTTAAGTGTGTAATTGTTCTTTAGTGAGACGAAATCCTAGGGTACAAATGCTTTTGACATATATTACAGTTGAAGAAAGGTATACGTTCAACCTGACCCAACATAGT